CTTTATTATGCCTTCTCTACCAACTTAATGATTTTAACACTGCTTTGACAGGCAGCTTGGGAAATTTTAGTTACTTTTACAGATTAAATGGAGGAAGATAAAGACCTTGAGTCAGAGTCAGACTAGTTCTTTTTTTTTTTTTTTTTTTTTTTTTTTTTTGAGACAGAGTTTTGCTCCTGTCGCCCAGGCTGGAGTATGATGGCGCAATCTCGGCTCACTGCAACCTCTGCCTCCCAGGTTCAAGTGATTCTCCTGCCTCAGCCTCCCAAGTAGCCGGGACTACAGTCATGAGCCACCACACCTGACCAGTTTTGCATTTCTGGCAGAGACAGGTTTTCTCCATGTTGGTCAGGCTGGTCTTGAACTCCCAACCTCAGGTGATCCACCTGCCTCCACCTCCCAAAGTGCTGGGACCACAGGCGTAAGCCACTGTGCCTGGCCCAGACTGGTTCTTTGTCTACCAAAGTACTGTTTTTTTTTCCCCAGTAAGTCTCAAATTTGAATTATGAAGCTAATTGGAAAGGTGTAATGTATTAACATTTTTTTTGTCTGTAGTAAATTCACTTGTGTTATCAGTGTTCCATGCTATTAATAGTCAGTGTCTTCAAAAAGGCAACTTTGAGCACCAGTTTGTTATATAGTAGGATGATTTAGTGCTATAAATTGACTTATATTCTGAGAATCAAATATCATCCTAACCAATGTTTCTTAATATATCCAGCAGGTAGGTGCTTCAATTTGGAATCTCCTTGAGTACCTATAACAAAATAAGGATTCCTGGGCCCCAACCCAGGAGTTCTGCTGAATCACAATCTCTGGATATGAGGCCCGGGGGCCTTCATTTGAAATGTTTTCCTTAGGTTATTTGTAATCACACTAAAATTTAAGAACTAGACCTTTTTTTAGGAAGTACATTTTTGTACAAGTTGTATGTAGCATTAGGAATTAATATTGTTCTGCCCTCAAATTCTGTATATTTTGTTACTGATAAGGAATGATTGGATTTTTTTTTTTTTTTTTTTTTTTTAAATCAAGCTCGGTTGTAACTGTCCCATGCTGTCTGGTAGGGTTCTAGAATCCTCTTTATAAGCCCACGTTCTTTGTTTTTGGTTTTTAAACTCCCTTTACCTCTCTATTAGTTTAGGAATTAATGACTTTTTACTGATTTAGCATTTTACTGAAATGCTTCTGAATTTTTTGAGAGTTACTTTAGGATAAACAGTACATTTACCAGCATCTGTGAATGACTTATTGGAGAGTTATTTCTGGCACTCTCCATCGACGTCATGGTCAACAGGCTGCGTTGATCTCTAACAATGTTAGAACGTTCTCTTCCGGCATTCCAGTTCTCTCTCCTTCCCATCTCTCCTTTTCTTTCAGCCCATCTTCTCTTTCTAAACTTGGGGCCGATTCCATGTCTTTGCTATCATGAATAGTGCTGCAGTGAACATACGTATGCATGTGTCTTTATGGTAGAGTGATTTATATTCCTTTGGGTATGTACCGAGTAACAGGATTGCTGAGTCGAATGGTAGTTCTGTTTTTAGCTCTTTGAGGACTTGCCACACTGCTTTCCACAAAAGTTTAACTAATTTACACTCCCACCATCCCATTTCCCTGCAACCTTGCCTGTATCTTTTTTTTTTTTTTTTTAATCTTTTTAAAAATAGCCATTCTGGTGTGAGGTGGTATCTCATTGTGGTTTTGATTTGTATTTCTCTAATGATCAGTGATATTGAGCTTTTTTTCATATGCTTGTTGGCTGCATGTATGTCTTCTTTAGAAATTTGTCTGTTCATGTCCATTGCTCACTTTTTCATGGGGTTGTGTGTGTGTGTGTGTGTGTGTGTGTGTGTGTGTGTGTTTCATTTGTTTGTTTTGAGACCTAGTCTCTCTCTGTTGCCAGCCTGGAGTGCAATGGCACAATCTTGGCTCACTGCAACCTCTGCCTCCCCGGTTCAAGCAATTCTCCTGCCTCAGCCTCCGGAGTAGCTGGGATTACAGGTGTACACCACCATGCCTAGCTAATTTTTGTATTTTTAGTAGAGACAGGGTTTCCCCCTTTTGGCCAGGATGGTCTTGATCTCTTGACCTCATGATCTGCTTGCCTTGGCCTTGCAAAGTGCTGGGATTACAGGCGTGAGCCACTGTGCCCTGGCGGTTGGTTGTTTTATACTTGTAATTTTGTTTCAGTTCCTTATAGATGCTGGATATTACACCTTTGTCAGATGCATATTTTGTAAATATTTTCTCCCATACTTTAGATTGTCTATTTACTCTATTGATAGTTTCCTCTGCTGTGCAGAAACTCTTAAGTTTAATTAGATCCTATTTGTCAACTTTTACTTTGGTTGCAATTTTTTTTTTTTTTTTTTTTTTTTTGAGTTAGAGTCTCACTGTGTCACTCGGGCCAGAGTGCAGTGGCTCAATCTCGGCTCACTGCAACCTCCTCCTCCTGGGTTCAAGTGATTCTTCTGCCTCAGCCTCCTGAGTAGCAGGGACTCCAAGTATGTGCCACCATGCCTGGCTAATTTTTGTATTTTTAGTAGAGACAGGGTTTTATTGGCCAGGCTGGTCTCAAACTCCTGACCTCGTGATCCACACGCCTCGGCCTCCCAAAGTTCTGGGATTATAGGCATGAGCCACCGTGCACAGCCACTTTGGTTCCAATTGTTTTTGTCATCTTCATCATGAAATCTTTGCCAGTTCCTATGTCTGGAATGGTATTGACTAGGTTGTCTTCCAGGGTTTTTATAGTTTTGGGTTTTACATTTAAGCCTTTAATCCATCTTGAGTTGACTTTTGTGTATGGTGTAAGGAAGTTTTAATCTTCTGCATATGGCTAGCCAGTTATCCCAACACCGTTTATTGAATATGGAGTCTTTTCCCCATTGCTTGTTTTTATCAGCTTTGTCGAAGATCAGATGGTTGTAGGTGTGTGGTCTTATTTCTGGGGTCTGCTTAAGGGTGGAGGGTGGGAGGAGGGAGAGGATCAGAAAAAATAACTATTGGGTACTAGGCTTAGTACCTGGGTGATGAAATAATCTGTACAACAAACCCCTGTGGCGTGAGTTTACCTATATAACAAACCTACACATAGTACCCCGAACCTAAACTAAAAGTTTAAAATAAGCAACAACAACCTTGGCGCACACATGATGGGACTAAAAAGATTTGTACCACTCTGAGTTTTAGGAAAATCTACCTTATCATTGAGCTTCGGGAAGCCAACTGTGCCATTCATTAAGTAGGATTAGGAATAGGTTATTATAAAGATACCTTTTGTTATTTTCTTGCTCCCTAAAGGAATTTGTAAATAGGATATTGGTTGGGTGTGGTGGTGCATGCCTGTAGTCTCAGCTACTGGGGAGGCTAAGAGGGAGGGTTCCTTAAGTCCATGAATTTGAAACTGCAATATGCTATGATTGTACCTGTGAGTAACCACTGCATACCAGCCTGGACAACATAGTAAGATCCTATCTCTGATTGAAAAAAATAAACAAAACAGGATATGGGATGTTTATAATAAATATTTTTTGGAGACAGGCACACCTACAAGTTTCCTTTTTTACTTTGCCTTATAAAGAATCCTGTCTGATAGAATGAAAAATGATTTTTGCATTTCATAAATCCATAACAGACTTTGCCTTTGCCCTGAGGCAAGGATATATGTATACCCTAGGAATTACTGTTCTGTCCAACATAGCAGCCATTAGTCACATGTGGCTATTTAAATTATAAAAACGTATTGTTTATGTTTTAAATGATAAATTATACTCGTGCTGCATATGCCAGTGGTCTCAAAAGATTTTAATTTGTATTTCTATTCTACCTTTTCTGTGTTTTGATGTGTTTAGATGTGCAGATAACCTACCATTATGTTCCACCTGCCTACAGTAGTCAGTGCAGTAATATGCTGCACAGGTTTGTAGCCCAGGAGCAGTGGGCTATGTATACCATGTAGACTAGGTGTGTAGGGCAGGCTATATCATCTAGGTTTGTGTAAGCATACCCTATGATGCTTGTACAATGCCAGAATCACCTAACAGCGTATTTCTCAAAATGTGTTCCTATCAGTAAGTGATGCATGACTGTAATTTAAAATTAATAAAACAAAAATCAGTTCACTTGAACTAGCCCCATTTTAAGTACTCCCTAGCCAAATGTTGCTAGTGGCTACCAGATGGGACGTTGGCAATATGGATCATCTCCATCACTGCAGAAAGTTCTCTTGGGCAGTGCTATACTAGACTGAACTTTTTTTTTTTTTTGAGTCGGAGTCTTGCCCTGTTGCCCAGGCTAGAGTGCAGTGGCATGATCTTGGCTTGTAGCAACCTCTACCTCCCAGATTCAAGCAATTATCTTGCCTCAGCCTTCCAAGTAGCTGGGACTGCAGGCGCCCACCACCACACCCGGCTAAATTTTGTATTATTAGTACAGACGGGGTTTCACCATATTGGCCAGGCTGGTCTCGAACTCCTGACCTTGTGATCCACTTGCCTTGGCCTCCCAAAGTGCTGGGATTACAGGTGTGAGCCACTGCGCCCAGCCCTAGACTGGTCATTTTTAAGAAAAGAAACAGGCTAGCGTTAGCTGGGTGCAATGGCTCATGCCTGTAATCCCAGCACTTTGGGAGGCTGAGAATGGCAGATCACTTGAGCCCAGGAGTTCAAGACCAACCTGGATAACATGGTGAAACCCTGTCTCTACTGAAACTATTAAAAATTAGTCAGGATGGTGGTGCGTGCCAGTGGCCCTCGCTGCTTGGGAGGCTAAGATGGAAGGATTGCTAGAGTCTAGGAGGAGGAGGCTGCAGTGAGCCAAGATCACACCACTGTACTCCAGCCTGGGTGACAGGAGACTCTGTCTCAAAAAAAAAAAAAAAAAAGGCTAATGGAAGAGCAGAATAATAAAGACCTAAATTTCCTAAAATTCAGAAAAAGATACGTTGAGTATCATCACTTTGACCTTGTTTTTTAATGTTTAATTCTGTTTTCCAGGCTGGCAGTGATGGTGAAAGCATAGGAAACTGCCCCTTTTCCCAGAGGCTCTTCATGATTCTTTGGCTCAAAGGAGTTGTATTTAGTGTCACAACCGTTGATCTGAAAAGGTAAGACACAGTTGCAGTTTGCAATCAACTTAAGCTGAACTGTCTTTTCAGTTTGATCCTATTTTAACTTTGATGGTATATAGTCTCTAAAGGAAATATATTAAAGTTCTGCTAGTTTATGGACAAACTTAACTTGTATATACAAGTCACGCTGTCAGTATACTGCATGTGGCTACTCAGTCTTTTAGGAACTTTTGTATGTTTACCTTAAATTTTATGAGCAGCACCAGGAGCTAAGTTTTAGTGTGGATGCAGTGAAATCCTTGACTTTTCCAGTTTGAACATGGAGTCATGAAGAACTTTCTAAGCAGAATCTTGGCCCCGAATGTGTTAAACATATGACCTATATAATCTGGATCTTTAAAGACAAGGATTTTTAGGAGGTTGAATACCATTATTGTCAATTTCATTTAATTTACTTTTTAGGGAATAACAGTAATTTTCTATAGCATGATTTTAATCGTATTTGTTTACATCTATTGTAAAATAATTTCAGTTATCTGTGGCCCCTGACTATTTAAGTGGAGAGTTGTTTGCAGCTTTCTCTCCTGGATGACTTTATGGCTTATTTTCCATAGTGGAGAGGGCTGAGAAGAGCCCTGATGAGTAGAAAGCTCCATTTTATTCAGGAATGTCTATTCGCCTTTAGCAAACAGGTCTGGGGTAAAGAACATTTATACATCCCCTTCCACCAAAGATTTAAATCAAGGATTAAGAATAGTTGTATTATTGGGAAAATCTAGGGTTTGGCAGTGGATTCCCCTTAATGCAAGTGTTACATGGGATTTGTTATTATACTTATTTTTAAAGCTGTTGTATTAGTTAATTCTCACAATGCTATAAAGAACTACATGAGACTGGGTAATTCATAAAGAAAAGAGGTTTGATTGACTCACAGTTCTACAGGTTGTACAGGAAACATGGCTGGGGAGGCCTCAGGAGACCTAAAATTATGGCAGGAGGCAAAGGGGAAGCAGATACATCTTACATGGCTGGAGAAGGAAGAAGAGAGAAGTAGGGAGGTGTTACACACATTTAAACAACCAGATCTTGTGAGAACTCACTCGCTATCACAAGAACAGCAAGGGAAGTCTGTGCTTATGATCCAGTCACTTCCCACAAGGCCCCTCTTCCAACATTAAAGATTATAATTTAATATGAGGTTTGGGCAGGGACACAAATTTAAACCATATTATATATCAAGTCATGAACAATGTCCAGGAAAGAACAATGACAGCCTATCACTTGATAACAAAGTGGCCGAATTCATATGTGTTATCCCTCTGAGCATCACATGCTGATGGTTAAACCTGAAAGCTATAATTTCATTTCCAGTTCTATGTTAGTGTACTCAGATTACTGTCATTCCCTTAAAATATATTTTTACTTACTGCTAGTACATAGATTTGAAATTTTACAGACTTTAAAATTTATTGAAAATAAGCCATAAAGTCATCTAGTTACCCCTTTAATTGTGTATATAAATTCAAGATTACACACTTATAATCGAGTTAAAACTACAAGCTCTTGGGAAGACATTACCTCCTTCATGTTGGGCAGAGATGTTGTAAGAATGAAATAAGTCATGTAGTTACCCTTCTATTACTGTTTTTTTCATACATGCATACACAGAGGAAGTTTCCCAATATAACTCCTCAAAATAGACCGTACCACCATGCACACACCCTTACTGTGTCCCAAAATACACGAATTTCTCCTATTCCATTTTTGGCTTGGAGCAAGTGAGTTGACTGCCATGCTTTGAAAAAGCCTTCATTGAATAGTTTAATACAGTGCTTAATTGTGATGCATACCAGTAATAGTGCCATAAATGATGGGAATCTGGGTCAGAAAAGGAAGTAAACTCATTATAGCTATTTCAGAGTTGTCTGTTTCTTTTCATTTAGACTTTTTAAAGGCATTATTCATATAGGTTGATTGATTGATATTTGCAGATTTGTATATATATGTTAATGTGTATATGTGGAAATATGTGTAAGTGTATATTCTAAGTGCGTATGTTAAGTATTTATGTGTATAAAAACTGGCACATGGGAGACAGGCATTCAGGATCTCATAAACAGAAAATATCTAAGAAGATATATGTTTATTACCTCGGACTTTTTGTAAAATCAACAGCAGAGAGCACTTAAAATTGAAACTTACATTCTTTGGTCTTCTTTAGCAATCATAGGTCTCTAGTAAAGCTAAAAAATGCTTCTTAGGACAATTAAAACTATGTAAGTAGTACATGATAATAAGTTCCTACCATCCCTACCCCCCTAGTCATCAACTTCCTCTTCAGAAAGACAATTTATTTTAGGCGTGGTCTTTATCCTTCCAAATCTTTTCTTTTCTTTTTTTCCTTCTTTTATTATTATTATTTTTTTTGAGACAGGGTCTGCCTTTGTCACCGAGGCTGGAGTGCAGTGGCACGATCATGGCTTACTGTAGCCTTGAGCTCCTGGGCTCAAGTAATCCTCCAGCCTCAGCCTCCCAAGTAGCTAGGACTGTAGGCATTTACCACCACACCTGTGTAATTTTTTAAGAGACAAGGTCTCCCTGTGTTGCCTAGGCTGGTCTTGAACTCCTGGGCTCAAGCAGTCCTCTGGCCTTGGCCTCCCAAAGTGCTGGAATTACAGACGTTAGCCACTGTGCCCGGCCTTGTCCAGATCTTTTCTGTGAGTTTACACACTTATAATCTTGAACAAAATTTTAAAGAGGTACCTTTACCTCAAGAAAGTGAACATTGGCTCAAAAAACAAAAACAAAACCCACCAGTATATATGAAAGTCATCACAGAGAAATACAACATATGTCTAGTACCTTTCATAATATAGTCTTAATCTTAAAACATTAAATGTGACTCTTTTTAGAAATTTGTAGGGGAGAAAATGCCTATAATGCTTATTTTCCTGCTTTTCCTGGTAATTGCATAATTTCACTGTGAGAAGTACTGACTCCAGAACAAACCAGTGGAGAACAATAGAACTCCTCTGATAGTTACTTAGCAGCTCACTGTATGAATTGAAAAAATGGTTGTTACATGACATTTCATCCATAAGAACAAGCCCATTTCTAGTTCTGGCACTGTGTGACACATTCTCTTTGAATCTGTTGGCATTAATGACTCTGCTGGTGATATTCATGTGTCCCTTGTGAGGCTTTGAACAATCTCCCATTACTTGCCTGCCCGAGCAGTCTTAATGGTTGAGTGGGAGTCATTTCTAAACCTAATTTTCTGTTCATACTGCAATTTAAAGAACATTAGATTTAAAAAAGTGCCCAGGCTTCAGAAAGAATTTCAATTTTTTACATCAATGATTTGAACAGAAGCTTCAGATAATATAAGTGAAAATATTAAAATTGGGGGCATAAAGATGTTCTGGCATGTCATCAGCTGGGAAACAACCATGGCATAGTATAGAAAGTTTCAGGAGTAAGACCTGGCTATGTATGAAGAGAGCCCTGTCACTGATTTCACTGGGACCTTGCGGAAGCTGCCTCATCTTCCTTGGAGTCAGTTACGTCATATTTAAATTCAGGAAAAAGGAAGGGAAAAAACTTCACTTTTGTAATAGTTTAAAACATTACCATTACCATGGAACGGTGAAACTGATAGTTCTGCATATCTTAAAAGGCAGTTAGAAACACAGAAGAAAATCTGATTCCAAAATAGACTCTTCAGATAGTTTTATTTTCATTATCATGTCCCTGTGTTTCCACCCTTCTGAAAACAGTCTGCAGTAACTTGAGAAATAAGTTCAATTTCCGCTATCTTCAGTAGCAGCAGCATGAATGACACATGCCAAGAGACTAAATGGAATGAGACAGGCCTGTCTTTTAGAGAAATCAGCTATTTCCTGCTGCTGGCCAGACAGGAAAGTCAGACTCCATTTTTCCCCTTTGTAAAGTTGACTTTAGCTACATGAAGCACTTGTTAGAACAGTCCTAAAATTCAAGATAATTGTGTTTTATCGCTGCATTCAGAATCACATGTGTACCCAGTGTGTGTAAGTGAATGTGTGTGTATGTGTGGGTGGATGGTGGGGTGTGTTTGTGTGTGTGTGTGTGTGTGTAGGTGGATAGGAGTGTGTGTGGGTGGGTGGTGGGGGGGTGTGGGTGTGTGATTGAGAGGTGGGGGAGACATAGACACACAAAGAGGGAGTACTTTGTTGCTATGTCTTTATGTTCTTTTTCAAGACGATTTCAAAGATGATACATTCTATTGAGGTGCTAAGAGCTGAATTAATAAAATTATTAGTGAATGTTTTTCTAAATCTGTTATCAGTATATACTTTACTCCTAGGCTGTTATTAAGATGTTAAAAATGATAGAATCTATATTTGGGCTGGGCAAGGTATCTCACTCCTGTGATCCCAGAACTTTGGGAGGCCAATGCAGGCGGATCACTTCAGGTCAGGAGTTCAAGACCAGCCTGGCCAGTGTGGTGGAATCCTGTCTCTACTAAAAATATAAAAATTAGCCAGGCATGGTGTTGAGTGCCTATAGTTCCAGCTATTCGGGAGGCTGAGGCAGGGGAATCGCTTGAACCTGGGAGGTGGAGTTTGCAGTGAGCCGAAATCATGCCAGCCTGAAAAAGAGGGCAAGTCTTCATCTCAAAAAAAAAAAAAGAGAAAATCATGGAATCTATATGTGACATCTTTTCATGGGTGCTGCTTTTTTTTTTTTTTTTTGAAGTATTTCTCCACAGATTGACTTTAAAATTAACATTAAAAGTAGACAGATTAACAATATTTAATTCATATCAATAAAATTCTTTATTTTATATCAAGATGATCTTGTTGCGTGTAAAATTCTTTTAACTGGTTGAACTGGGACAAAGACAAATTCATAGTGACGAGGAGTCTTGGTGTGTGTGTTTTGTTAAGTCCATGATTAATTCGTTCAGTTAGTGACTTGACTATCAGTCAAGCCAAAATATATCAACTCTAGTAAAGAATAATTAATAGTAGTAAAGTGTTTTAAGACAAATAATTCTGATTCTATGGTGTTAACTTTTGTGGGGTTTTTTTTTTGTTATTTTTGTTGTATGTTTTTATAGTGTCTAGTAGTCTTCTTGATACATGTGAATTAATTTTATGCCTTGAAAATCAGCACCTTCAAAAAGGAAACTCGATTTTTTTTATTGCTGTTGTCGTTGTTCTCTTTCTGGAGAAAAAAGGATCTCGATTTAAAAGATAAGGCCTATATACCTAGTACTTTTTTCTTCAGTTGGCAAGTCAACTTGTTACAGATAGGCCGTCTTCAAGAGCCAGCTCCAGTGTCTTAGAGCTATGCTGCACTCATTTTATACCAAGCAACTGGAACTGAGCCACCAGCCCAACTTCCTCCAATTGTTGCAAATGCACTGAACTACATTTTAATAGAAATTAAGCCATTTAACTCTTAAAATGTTAGCTCCTATAGGAGTTCTCCTTTTCATTCCTTTCTTTCCCTTTCTGTTTTTATTTTTCTTCACCTAGAATGACAATGGGGAACAACAGAATAATTTATTTCATCTGAAAGACTACCATGATATGTGAGGCTAAAAATAATAAACCCAAAACACTGAAGAATATTTGCTCCCTATTGCAAGGCATGAATTCTGTGCACTTTGCTCTTGATCTCATGAAAGGGAAACATTTGAATGAGTTTTAATCAATTGTTGAGTATTTACTGAAGGCCTTTTTTGAAGTAAACCAAAAATGTCTTGAAATTTTTCACCGTTTCCTATTGCCTCAGTTTCATTTATCTCAAACTGCAATTCTTACAGTGTTAAGTTTCTGTGTAACATCTGTAAAATGAGCCTTTGTGGGTCAAACAGAACACCTGAGGCCTGAGAATGCTAGGTGGGGACTGCAAGTTGAAGAATCTTAGATTCTGTTTGGTTGATACATAGCTTGTGAGTGAATCAGATTACTGTTTAGAACTTGTCCATTTATTTGAAGTCTGCTAATACATTTGGAGGCACTAAAGTTTCTTCTCAAATCCTTCACTTGGAATCGGGACCTGCTATAGTTGTCTGTCATCTCAATGGTTAATCCTGGAAAATAGTTTTATTGCTTTTTTTATTTAAAAAAAAATATATATAGCTTTTCAACCAAAACAAGATAGACTGTTCACTAATCACAAATATTAATGGAAAATGGGTAATCATATGCCCTTTTAAACTTTCCTTGGTTGTATATATGACTCTAAATTAATCAGATTTTATGACCAATCAGTTAATTCTAGGTAACCATTTATGAACCGTCAGTTCTATTAAAGTTAAAACTGCCAATCTTATTTCCTGCATAATGCTTTGTTAATGTGATACTAAAAGTGGTAATGAGTTTCATTTGCATGCTTTTAGTTGACTTTCATATGCCTTATTTGATTTAATCTTTACAGACAAAGCAGGTCTTATAAAGAGGAAATCCAGACTCAAAGAGGTTGTAATTTACTTAGTCATATAGCTGGTAAATGGCAGAGCTTTTCCATTTGGGACTTCAAGCCAGCCCTTTTTAGTCAGCCTTGGTTCTTTTTTTCTCTGATAGGCTAGCTTTCTCCCTCCCCTAATAAATATTCTTATTTGGAAGCCAGGGGCAGTGGCATGCTCTCTATTCCCAGCTACTCACAGCTGAGGATCCCTTGAACCCAGGAGTTTGAAGACAGCCTGGGCAACATAGCGAGAGAGAGAGAGAGAGAGAGAGAGAGAGAGAGAGAGAGAGAGAGA